AGGCTCAGCACCTCCAGACTCCGCACCCCCAGACTCCGCACCCCCAGGCTCAGTACCCTCAGGCGTAGCACCTCCAGTCTCAGCACCCCCAGGCTCAGCTCCCGCAGCACCACCAGAGTCACCAGGGACCTCGATAGGCTCGACCGCGTCTACCTGGGACACACCTGAAGGGGCAGGACCCTGAGGGGGGAGGGGGTCTACCGGGGGGGGACCTGGTACCAAGAAGAGTGGGGGCGGGGGGAGGGACGGAGTGCGGTAGGGGAAGAGGCGGTAGTAGGGTACCGACTCGTCCAACGTGACGTCCTGGGAGGACAGAACACGTCGAGAGGTGGGGTGGTAGAACTGCCACCCAGGGGCGTCGGGGGGGAACCCCAGGAAGACGCAGGGAGCAGCGCGAGGGGACAGCTTGTCCGCAGACAAGTCGCGGACAAACGCCCGAGATCCCCAGACCCGGAACGCCGACGCATCGCCAACCTTCCCCGTCCACAGCAGCGTTGGGGAGGTCTCCGGCCTTGAGACCCTGGGGTGGAGGTTGATCTGATGCGCTGCGTACCTGACCGCAAACGGCCACAGAAAATGGGGGGCAGCCGCATGCATCATGGACGTACGAGCGACGTCCATGACCATGCCAATGCGGCGCTCTGCAATCCCATTTTGCTGTGGGGAGTCCAGAAGCGTGAAGGTCTGGCGGATGCCTCGCGCACGACAGTAGGCACGCAGAAGGCCAGAGGAGAACTCTCCGCCTCTGTCCGCGTGCAGACGCAACACAGGAAAGTCCGAGCCAAAGCTCTGCCTGAGTTGGAGACGAGCTGCGCGGATCCAGTCGATCAGCATCTCAGTGACATCACCCTTGCTGCGCAAGGGGAAGACTGTGGTGTAACGCGAGTAGTCCTCAACCACCAACAGGAAGTAGCGCTCGTGACCGAGTCCACGGACGCGGGCAGGGCCCCACACGTCCATGTGAAGCGTCTGCAACGGAGCCTCTGTCGGAGGAAACTGGGAGGAGTGAGGGGCAGCACGCTGGCGCCCCTCGACACAGGGGACACAGGCAGGGCCAGGGCCCTGAGGAAGGGGAGGTAGAGACCGGGGGAGACCAGACACAAGAAGACGGGAGGCCATGCCTCTGAGCCGAAGCAGAGAGGGGTGGCCAAGGCGGTGGTGCCAGAGGAGGGTCTCGTGAGACAGACGGCGACACGAACAGGGGGCAGACTCAGGACCAGACCTGGACGCTGCAGCAAACACCTGACCAGACGAAGGGACTCTACCAGACTCAGCACCTGGAGGAGAAGCAGTGGTCAGTGTGTACAGGCTCGACCCTGGCTGACGTGTAAACGTAGCCAGGTGACGACCCGTGCTAGCCTCTGTGCAGTGCGTCACTCGCTGACTAGCAGGGGTGAACTGGTGGACTCCCGCATCCTGTAGGTCAGCACCACTCACCAAGTTTGTAGAGAACGAGGGAAGGTAGAGACCAGACAGGGTGCCAGAGGGAGCCGCCGGACACGGGAGGACTGTGGAGAAGCGAGACAGGACAGGACCCCCAGAGGGGTCAGCCAGGGAAACCGCAACCGGCCGACTAAGCGGCGTAAGTGTGGTGCGGTCCCGAAAGAAAGAGCGAGACGCTCCAGAGTCAAGAGTGAAGGTGTGGGAGGCCGAAGTCGACGCAGTACCTGAGAGCGCAGACGCACTAGTACTTGAGAGAGCAGTCTCACGAGCACCTGAGAGCACAGACGCACTGGCACCTAGAGCAGAAGCCTCACCGGCACCTGGAGCAGCAGTACCAATGCCCGGGTCGGGCGGGAAACACCGGTAACAGTCACCCTCCTCACTAATGGTCACAGCATACATGGCAGCAAGGATAGCATCAAAATCAAGATCAAAGATAGCTACACCAGCCCTAGACAGCTCTCCCCAGCGGGGGATCTCCGCGGCCTCCGGGAACTGCTGACGCCAAGCGTCCGTCAGGCGGCCAAAGCAGCGCTGGGCAGGGTGGGCACCCCCACACTGCTCTCCAGTGCGGTCGCCAGTGCGGAGAACGTAGGTGCAGGGACCGAAACCCCCACCGCGCTGACGCTGAGTGTACCACTCACGGAGCTGCTGAGGGGTGGGGACGTCGCGAGAACGCTGCTGCTGCTGCTGCTGCTGCTGCTGCTGCTGGCGCTGACCGCCACCAGTGCCGCTCCGCTGCGAAGCTCCACTCCGACCACCTCCACCTCCGCCACCCCCGCCTCCGCCTCCACCGCCCCCGCCTCCACCTCCACCGCCGCCACCTCCGCCACCACCGCTACCACCGCCACCGCCGCCGCCACTCCCGCCGCCACTGCTGCCACTAGCACCCCCACCCCCGCTACCACCTCCACCGCCACCCCCACTCCCTCCGCCGCCTCCACCTCCACCGCCACCGCCCCCACTAGCCCCACCCGCTCCCTTGCCCCCCTTGCCCTTGCCAGAGCGGCGTCTCCCGCTAGGGGCAGACGCCGCACCGACCGACTCAAGACCAACGAGGTCGGCCGCAGCGGCAGAGGCGACAGAGGGCAGGAGAGGGGAAGGAGAACACCCCTCAAAGATGGGGGCGCGGGGGTCACCTCGAGAGGCTCCTACAGCAACTATGCTCTTCTCTGCTGCAAGAAGGGCCTTCTCGAGGCTGTCGACTGTGAGGGTGGTGGGACAGACCGCGAGGAAGTGGTCCCGGACTACACGAAGGGAGTCAGGGAGGCGAGTGACTAGGAAGTAGAGAGTGGTGTACATGGGGGGGGGGGTTCTTGGCGCAGAAGTCAGCAGGAAGCGCAGCGCGGTAGCGAGTGTCACTAGTGCGGAGGTGCGTGATGAGATCAGCGACAGTGGGAAAGGCGGCAAGGTCAGGGAAGAGGAAGGGGAGCATGAGGCGGCTCAGTGCAGCAGTGGCAGGGGAGGAGTAGCGCGCAACTACAGCGTCGTACAAGGTCTGAGCACTCTTGTACTGGCTAAAGTGCGCGCGCTCAGCGGTAGGCAGGTGGCGACGCACAGCAAGACGTGCAGCAGCATCGCGCGTGGCCCACTGAGAGCGAACAGTGGCGTCAGCATCAGCAGCAGGGGCAGGGACGGCGCCAGAGGTGAGGTCAAAGAGAGATAGACCGTCGGCCCTGTCGCACTGTAAAAACAGCTGCAGGTCGTCGAGCCAGACCTCAAAGTCAATGGCTCGACCCTCAGCGTCAAAAGCAAGGACACTGGGTGTAGCCATGACGACGACAGTGGCGCACTGCAAGCAGTAAGAGAAGGGTACGCAGTGACAGCAGTGCGGTGCTCATCGGGCAGGGCAGGTCGGGCGGCTCGGGAGGAAGGTCGCCAGACGACACGGCCGCTAGGCTGCTGGGCGGCTCGGCTCTCGGGCGGTTCGGCTGCTGCTGGGCGGTTCGGCTGCTGCTGGGCGGCTCGGCGGCTCCTGGGCGGCTCGGCTGCTGCTGGGCGGCTCGGCGGCTCCGGGCGGCTCGGCTGCTGCTGGGCGGCTCGGCGGCTGCTGGGCGGCTCGGCTGCTGCTGGGCGGCTCGGTGGCTCCTGGGCGGCTCGGCTGCTGCTGGGCGGCTCGGTGGCTCCTAGGCGGCTCGGTTGCTCCGGGCGGCTCGGCTGCTACTGGGCCGCGTAGGTAGGGCGATCGGGCGGGCCGCAGGTAGGGCGGCGGGTAGGCCGCAGGTAGGGCGGCGGGACGGCCGCAGGTAGGGCGGCGGACGGCCGCAGGTAGGGCGGCGGGTAGGCCGCAGGTAGGGCGGCGGACGGCCGCAGGTAGGGCGGCGGGTAGGCCGCAGGTAGGGCGGCGGGACGGCCGCAGGTAGGGCGGCGGACGGCCGCAGGTAGGGGGGCGGGGAGGCCGCAGGTAGGGGGGCGGGTGGGCCGCGACAGAGTGGCGGAGCCGCTCGAAGGAGTGGCGGGGCCGCGACGAAGTGGCGGGGCCGCGACGAAGGGGCGGGGCCGCTCGAAAGGGTGGCGGGGCCGCGACGGAGTGGCGGGGCCGCGCGTAGGGGAAGCGGGGCCGCGACTGGGTGGCGGGGCCGCGACGGGACGGCGGGGCCGCTAGCAAGGGCGGCGGGTGGGCCGCTAAGGTAGGGCGGCGGCTGGGCCGCGAGTAGGGCGGCGGTCGGGCCGCGAAGTAGGGCGGCGGGGCCGCGAAGGAAAAGGGCGACTCGAAGGGTCGCTAAAAAAAAGGCGCGCGCCTCGGGCGCGCTTCGGTGGGCCCTAAAGAACAGTCCCTAGGATGGGACCTGCTCTGATTCCATGTGAAGAAAGGAACGTGAATGAAATGACTATGAATGAAGTGAGTACAAATAGGAAACCCTAGTTGGGTTGTACCCCCTATGGGATACCCCACTATAGCCTACACAAATAAGTAAGCTATAACATTCTGACACTTCAGCCTTGGTTCCGGCTCTGTTTCGTGGCGGGCTACTCGCTCGTCTTCTGTTCTCAGCTCCAGTTGTGAGGCTGAGATCTACGCCGGGGGCATGGCTGCACAGGAGCTTCGCTGGCTCACCTACCTGTTGAACGACCTTGGAGAGTCGCCTCGTTCTCCTCCAGTCCTGTACGTAGACAACAAGGCCATGCTGGCCCTGTGTCGAGAGCAGAGACTGGAGCACAGAACAAAGCACATTGCTCTCCGCTACTTCCTTGCTCGTGAGCTACAGCAGCGTGGTCAGTTGCGGCTTGCGTACGTGGCCTCTGAGGCCAACACTGCTGATGTCTTCACCAAGGCACTTGCGCCTTGTGATCATCAGCGTTTCTGCACGCAGCTGGGTCTTGTGCCTGTCTTGCCTCACTTGCTCACCTCTTGACCTTCCTTGTATTGTTGCATATATATACACCTGCTCTTGCTTGTCTAGTCCTTTATATATATGTACTCTTGCATGTGAACTGACCTTGTGGCCTTGAACTTGTGCTCAGAATGTGTGGTGACTTTGTGATCCACCTTGAGCTTGCTTTGCTTTGCTTTGTTTGACTGGTCTTGTGACCCCTTGTTCTCCCCCACTTTGCCTATGGGGGTGTGTCAGAACATATAGCTTGTGCTTATTGTGTAGGCTATAGTGGGGTAGCCCATAAGGGGTACAACCCAATTGGGGTTAGTACTTGTACTCAGTTCATTCATAGTTCATTCATTCTCGTTTCAATCTTCTCACCCTCGCCCTCGCTTTCCTTTCCCACGCTTTCGCTCTCTTTCGCCCGCGTCGTCGCCATCGCTTCCGCAGCTCGTCGCGTGCTCGTCGCCTTCGCTCCGCCCGTCGCCTTCACTTCTCCCCCGTCGCCTTTACTTCTCCCCCGTCTCCTTCACTCCCCCCACTCTTCCGTTGCCTTCATTTCCCCCTCCCGTCGCCTTCATTTCCCCCTCCCGTCGCCTTCACTTCCCCCTCCCGTCGCCTTCAATTCCCCCTCCCGTCGCCTTCATTTCCCCCTCCTGTCGCCTTCATTTCCCCCTCCCGTCGCCTTCATTTCCCCCTCCCGTCGCCTTCACTTCCCCCTCCCGTCGCCTTCACTTCCCCCTCCCGTCGCCTTCACTTCCCCCTCCCGTCACACTCGCTTCCCCACCCGTCACCTTCACTTCCCCTCCCATTGCCTTTCACTCTCTCCTGCTCAATCTCTTTCCCCCTGCTCACTCTCTTCCCCCCTGCTCACTCTCTTTCCCCCTGTTCACTCTCTTCCCCCCTGCTCACTCTCTTCCCCCCTGCTCACTCGCTTCCCCCCTCCTCAATCTCTTCCCCCCTGCTCACTCTCTTCCCACTCTCTTCCCCCCTGCTCACTCTCTTCCCCCCTGCTCACTCTCTTCCCCCCTGCTCACTCTCTTCCCCCGTGCTCACTCGCTTCCCCCTCCTCAATCTCTTTCCCCCTGCTCACTCGCTTCCCCCCTCCTCATTCTCTTTCCCTCTGCTCACTCCCCTTGTTCTAACCCCAGTTTCCCCATTTCTCACCCATTTTCCCCCTTCACGCTCTCTTACCCCCTCTGCTCGCCCCTGTTTTCCCAACTCACGCCTATACTCACTCTCTCCCCCCCCCTGCTCACTCTCTTCCCCCCTGCTCACTCTCTTTCCCCTTGCTCACTCTCTTCCCCCCCTTCTCACTCTCTTTCCCCCTTCACGCTCTCTTTCCCTCCCTTCCGCTCGTTGCCCCCCTTCGTCTCGCGCTCGTCCCCTCGCAATCCCCGTCTCTCTCTCCCCCCGTCGCCCTCGTTTTCCCCGTCGCCCTCCCTTCCACTCCTCGTTGCCCTCGCCATCTCTCCCTTCTCCCCTCCCATCTCGCACTTTTGTCACGCCCCCTTTCCAACCCGCACATACACCCTTCCCTTCTTCCCTGTTTCCTCGTATCTCCTGCGCTGCTTCCCCCCATCCTCCGACTTGCTCCCCCCATCCCCTTCCCTGCTTCCCCCCAACCCCTTCCCTGCTCCCCCCCATCCCCTTCCCTGCTTTCCCCCTTCCCCTTCCCTGCTTTCCCCCGTCCCCTTCCCTCCTTCCCCCGTCCCCCTCCCAGCATCCCCCCATCCGCTTCCCTGCTCACCCCCATCCCCTTCCCTGCTCCCCCCCATCCCCTTCCCTGCTTCCCCTTATCTCCTTCCCTGATTCCCCCTATCGCCTTCCCTGCTCACCCCTGCTCCCTTTGTTGCACCCTTGCTCCCTCCCCTTCTTCTCTGCTCACTCTCTTCCCCCTTGCTCACTCTCTTTACTTCTGCTCACTCTGTTCCCCCCTGCTTCCTCTCTTCCCCTCTTTTCAATCTGTCCCCTGCTGCTTCTTCTCTTCCCCTCTGCTCATTCCGTTTACTGTCTTTCCCCCTTCACTCACCCCCATACCCCCCAATGCAGTTACAGGTGCTCAGCACCAGATGTGGCTTTACCACGGCCTGGTTTATTGCTTGCAGTGTAGCAGACAAAACCGGAAAACAACATTACACATACACCCCCTAGCTTTGTTCCCTTCTCGAGTCTGGTGATTCCCCTTACTTCACAGATACGGTAATATACTAATTGTTGAACTCCTTGTCAAACATTATATATGTTGTGCTAATTTAGGCTACAGTGGGTTAGCCTATAGGGGGTACACAATTCTAGGGTTAGGTACTTGTACTGATTTCACTGTTAGTTCAATCATTCCTGTTCGTTCATTTCAACATGGTATAGAGCAGGTCCTTCGCTAGGACCGTTTTTTTAGGGCCCACCACTACCTACCTACCTACCTACCTAACTGCGCCCTAGGGCGCCTCGTTTTTCACGGCCCCCTAAGGCCCCGCGACCCGCCCCTTAGCGACTCGCGCGCCGCCCCTTAAGGCCCCGTCGGCCCACGCGCTCGCCCCTTACGGCCCCGCGCTTGCCCCTTAGCGACCCTGTCGGCCCCGCGATCGCCCCTAACGGCCCCGTCGGCCCCGCGCTCACCTCCCTAGAGGCCCCCGTTGGCCCCGCGCTCGCCCTTAGCGGCCCCTTACGGCCCCGCGCTCGCCCCTAGAGGCCCCGAACGGCCCCGCGCTCGCCCTTAGCGGCCCCTTACGGCCCCGCGCTCGCCCCTAGAGGCCCCGAACGGCCCTACGCCCGCGCTTAGCGGCCCCTTACGGCCCCACGCTCGCCCCTAGAGGCCCTGATTGGCCCCGCGCTCGCCCTTAGCGGCCCCTTACGGCCCCGCGCTCGCCCCTAGAGGCCCCGAACGCCCCCCCCCCAGAACGAGCCGCCCGACCCGAGCAGCCCAAACCGAGCCACCCAGCCCGAACCGAGCCGCCCGAACCGAGCCGCCCAGCCCGAACCGAGCCGCCTGAACCGAGCCGCCCGAATCGAGCCGCCCGAACCGAGCCGTCCAGCCCAAACCGAGCCGCGCCGCCCAAACCTAGCCGCGCCGCCCTTCCCGAGCCGCGCCGCCCTACCTGAACCGAGCCGCGCCGCCCGTACTGGACCGAGCCACCCTACCTGAGTCGCACTGCCTACTGTTTTTGGGGTGCCCCTACTGCTATTACTCCTACTACTACTATGGCTAGCCCTTCTGTGCTGGCTTTCGATGCTGAGGGCCGCCCAGTGAAGTTCGACACCTGGCTTAATGACCTACACCTCTTCCTACAGCTCACTGCCAAGGAGGACATCTCACTGTACGATCACGCCCTAGGCCATGCTCCTGCTCCTGCTGCTACTGCTGACAGCACTGCCCACTCACAGTGGCAGACTCGTGACGCCCACGCTCGCTTCGCTATTCGCAACTCCCTGCCGATAGATGAGCGCGAGCACTTTGGGCAGCACAAGACTGCACAGGCACTGTACACTGCTGTCGTTGCCCGCTACTCCTCACTGGCCTCTGCCGCACTAGGCCGTCTCTCTCTTCCCTACCTGTTCCCCGACTTAGCCTCTTTCCACACAGTCGCTGACCTCATTACGCACCTCCGCACTAGTGAGGCTCGCTTCCGCGTCGCCATGCCTGATGAGTTCCTTGCCAAGAACCCACCCCCACTCTGGCTCACTCTCTACCACCTAGTCACCCGCCTCCCTGACACTCTGCGCTCATTCAGGGACCACTTCCTAGCTCGCTGCCCCACTGAGCTCACCATTGCCCTCCTCGAGAAGGAACTCCTTGCAGCTGAGGCTAGCATAGTTGCTGTAGGTGCCTCTCGTGGCGATCCCCGTACCCCGTTCTTTGAGGCGTGTTCTCCTTCCCCCCTTCTTCCCTCTGTCGCCTTTGCTGCTGCTGTCGACCTCCTTGGTGCTGAGAAGGTCGGGACTGCGTCTACCTCGAGCGGGTGCCGCAGCGGCAAGGGCAAGGGGGCAAGGGCGGTGGCGGTGACAGCGGGGGAGGCGGTGGTGGGGGCGGTGGCGGCGGTGGGGGTGGTGGCGCGACTGGAGGGGCTAGTGGCAGCGGTGGGGGTGGTGGCGGCAGCGGCGGGGGAGGTGGCAGGGGTGGAGGCGGTGGTGGGGGTGGCGGTGGACGCGGCGGCGGCAGGGGTTGGGGTGGTCGAGGAGGTGGCGGTGGCGGTGGTGGTCGTGGAGGCGCTGGCGGTGGCCAGAGCCAGCAGCACACTCCGTCGCCCCAGGAGGTCCGTGAGTGGTACTCTCAGCACGGGGGGGGGGGGGGGGGGGGGGGTGGCTTTAGGTGCACGTACGTCATTCGCACTGGTGACCGCACTGGTCAGCCGTGTGGGGGACCGCACGCCACACAGCGCTGCTTCGCTCGTCTCAACGACGCTTGGCGTGTTCAGTTCCCTCAGGCCACTGAGCTGCCCCGCTGGGTTGATCTCCTGAAGAAGGGGATTGATATCTATGCTCTAGACTTTGATGCTATTCTCACTGCTATGTATGTGATGTCTACTAGTGGAGAGGGTGCTGAGTACCTGTGTGTGCCGCCCGACCCGGGCATTAGGACTAGTGCGTCTGCCGCTCAAGGTACCCCAGGTGCTGGTGAGGCAGCTGCTCTAGGTGCTTGTGCGTCTGCCCCCCCTGGTACTGAGTCGACGGCAGCACTGCACACCTTCACACTGGACTCAGGTGCTTCTCGCTGCTTCTTTCGTGACCGCACTGCATTTGAGCCGCTTACTCGGCCAGTTGCTGTCTCCCTCGCTGACCCCTCTGGGGGTCCGGTCATTGCGACCTCCTCCACTGTCCTTCCCTGTCCTGCGGTCCCGTCGGGCACACTGTCAGGTCTCCACCTCCCCTCGTTCTCTACGAACTTGGTGGCAGGTAGTGCACTCCAGGACGGGGGTGTTCACCAGTTCACCCCTGCCTACGAGCGCGTGACACACTGCACGTGTGCTCGTACGGGCCGCCACTTGGCTACCTTCACTCGGCAGCCGGGGTCGGACCTGTACACACTGACCACTGAGTCCCCTCAAGTCGCTGCGTCTGCGTTTGCGTCCGCGTCAGGTCAGCTGTCTGCCCCCTGCTCGTGTCGCTCTCTGGCGCATGAGACTGTCCTCTGGCACCACCGACTTGGCCACCCGTCTGTGCAGCGCCTTCGTGCCATGCACTCCCGGTACCTTGTCTCCGATCTTCCCAGAGTCCTCCCTCCCCTCCCACCCTCGCCTGCTCCTCCCTGTCTTCCCTGCGTCGAGGGGCGGCAGCGCGCCGCTCCTCACTCCTCCTCGTTTCCCCCGACGACTGCTCCCTTGAAGACGCTCCACATGGACGTGTGGGGCCCAGCCCGCGTCCGTGGTCAGGGTCAGGAGAGGTACTTCCTGATAGTTGTTTACGACTACTCGCGCTACACCACGGTCTTCCCCTTGCACACCAAGGGTGAGGTCCCTGGTGTCTTGATCCCTTGGATCCGCAGAGCCCGTCTCCAGCTCAGGGAGCGTTTCCACTCGGACTTTCCTGTCCTGCGCTTGCACTCTGACAGAGGTGGTGAGTTCTCCTACGACCTCTTGGCAGCCTACTGTGCTGAGCACGGCATTGAGCAGTCGTTCACGCTTCAGGCCTCACCACAGCAGAATGGGGTTGCGAAGCACCGCATTGGCCTTGTCATGGAGGTCGCCCGTACCTCCTTGATCCATGCGGCTGCCCCCCACTTTCTGTGGCCGTTCGCGGTCCAGTACGCTGCGCATCAGCTCAACCTCTGGCCCCGTGTCTCCTTGCCAGAGACCTCACCCACACTGCTGTGGACGGGGGAGGTTGGCGATGCGTCGCGTTTCCGGGGATCTCGAGCTTTTGACCGCGATACGTCTGCGGACAAGCTCTCCTCCCGTGCTGTTCCCTGCGTCTTCCTCGGCTTTGTCCCGGACGCGCCTGGTTGGCAGTTTTACCACGCCACCTCGCGCCGAGTCTTGCCCTCTCAGGACGTCACTTTTGACGAGTCCGTCCCCCACGACCAACTCTTCCCCTACCGCACTGCCCCGCTCCCCCCCCCCGCCTCTCTTCCTCGCGCCAGGTGCTGCTGTCGTAGACCCCCTCCCCCCTCAGGGTGCCGCTCCCTCAGGTGTGTCTCAGGTAGACCCGGTTGAGCCTGTTGAGGTAGCTGTCGACTCTCGTCCTGCTGTGGGTGCGGAGCCTGGGGGTGCTGAGCCTGGGGGTGCTGAGCCTAAGGGTGCGGAGCCTGAGGGTGCGGAGCCTGGGGGTGCGGAGCCTGGGGGTGCGAAGCCTGGGGGTGCTGAGCCTTGGGGTGCGGAGCCTGGGGGTGCTGAGCCTGGGAGTACTGAGCCTGGGGGTGCTGAGCCGCAGAGTCCGGAGTCTGGGGGTTCTGAGTCTGGAGGTCCTGAGCCTGAGGGTCCTACACCTGGCGGAGCCCTCTCCTCGGAGCAGCTGCGTGAGTGGTACTTCTAGTACTGCAGCCTCAGGAGAGGTACCTCTGGAGCCAGGCGTACTACTGGGACTGGTGCTAGTGCTTCTCATCCTAGCCGGGAGCTCCCCTCCCGTGAGCGGATCCGTGAGTGGTACGAGCGGCGCTGCACTCTTCGGAGTGGCGCGCCTGGTGTCGCGGACCCCGCTGCTGCTGGTGGTGCTACTAGTGCTAGAGACTCTACTGGTTCTGCTGGTGCTGCGGCCCCAGAGGTTGGAGCTGTTTCTGGTGCTGCGGACCCGGGCGTTGGAGCTACGGCTGGTGCTGCGGACCCGGGCGCTGGTGCTGTGGAGTCGGGCGTTGGAGCTGCTGCTGGTGCGGAGGACCC